TTAAAACACTAAATTAAACCAATACCAAAACTAACTCCTTTCTATGTTCTGAAGACGATGTTCTTCGTCTCCAAGGTCTCACCAATTCACTCATCGATTCATCAGCAAAAACAGATGGTCGATTCAAGCATCTCAAAATCCTTTTCTTCATCTTAGCTCAATGCATCTTCTTCTTCATTGCAATTGCTTCTTTATCAGCCACTTTCATGGCGAAATACGAGCTCCAGATATCTTCTTCTTTGTCTCCTCCGAAGAGACGACATAGGTAGATTGTCTCGATGTCTCCAGCGAGACGGCATAGGTTAGGTCGTGTTTCCATCGTCGCCGGATCTCTGAGTAAGCAAAATTGGAGGAACGGTGAGGCTGAAACTGCTGCAACCCTTTGTTATGGAAGTCATGAAAACTATCGCCGAACCGCAAAACCAAATCCAGAACAGAAAATTGTTTGATTGCTAGAACTGAGTTACTCTAATGGACTATTTCTCCAATCCAAGAGCCACTGTGAGCATATCGTTCCATCCCTTTACTTGAAACAAGCGAACTGTATTCGGAATCTCTCCTTGAGCCCATTGACGAAGACAGCTTCGAGAAAGAATCTGGTTTTAACTGGGATGGGAGTTCTTCGAATTGGCTAAGATCGACGTAACAGATCCAACCAGATTGTGATGCAGTATACGTTCCATTGCAGACCCAGATTTCAAATTATCCACAAATCGATCTAACAATCAAGATTTAAAATCATTCTAATTTACAAAAAGCTCACGAAGCTTCCTGAAGTAATACCGGCTCAATGCTTCACCGTCGACACTCGGATAAACTAGCCGGAGCTTCTCCATCTCTATGAAATTCTTGATCTCCAAGTACCTTTCTTATAGAGGAAACTAAATTGATTTGGGCTCGATGAAGCTTTGAAAGTCAAAATTGAAAAAGTATCAAAAGGAAGAAGAAGCTTGATTTCTTCTTCTTTAGTCTATCGGATTTTTAATTTGGTTATACGGGTATTAATCCGATTAAGAAGACTTTCAATGGTTAAGTGATGAATTTAAAACAGTAAACCGTTGGTGCGGATAAATAAACATGAAATTTTGATTCAGTGGAG